CGCGCCTCCCGCCGTCGCCCCCGCTGCACGCCTCGTCGCCCCCTCTTCACACCCTCCAATCTCTTGTACTGATGTAGTTGCCTCTCCTTTCTCTCAGGACGTCATGGGGGTAAATATGGCCGCCCTGCAGTTCTTGAAGCGAGAGATTGAAGCCAAGGAGGAAGTCCTGTTCTTTGCAGACGCCACCGAGAGGTTCGAGGAGAAGAAGAGGAAACGGAAAAAGAAGGAGAAGCTGCTGCTGACCGTAGCGTGATGATTCCACCTGGATGTCTTGTAACTCCGCCCCAATCATGTCTCCTGGATTCCATTCATAGTGGGAGCTCCAGAATTAGAGACTTGTGATTGGTCAGGACTGTTGCCATCTGTCGTACTCTGCGTGTAGTCACTTGGACCATACCATTTACACACATTGTGTGGGGGAGGGGGGGACTCGGGATTGCCGGCTTGCTATGTACAGAACCCATTTTGAAAAACCTATTTTAATAAAATATTTTATAAGTGTGGCTGGAGAAACTAATGTAATGCAATAATTTCAGTGCTGACTGATGACAGGGGAGAGGATGGCATTGTGCTCAGCCACACCAAGAGCCCAGGGGCAGACATACCATGTGTGTAGACCCCGCATAAGGGTCCAGTGTGATATAGGGGCCCATTTATACTGGGAAGGATGGCTGCTGGGAGCCTTCCCATTGGCATGTGGACCAGCACACAATTTACCTCTAACAATTTTTGGGCCCCTCCATTTTAGCTGCGGACCAAGCAAATAGTGAGCGTGCGTCTTCATTCTCTACCGCCAATCAGATTCACACTTGAGGGCAGAGGTGTATCTGATTGGCTGAGAGGAAGGAACTCCAGCTCTGTTGATACATCAGGTCTATAGTATGTCTCGCCCACCCTGTTCACCATAAGGGAGGCCTGTCAGCAGGTGCCGATCTCTGATTGGTGGGGTACAACGTACGGATCTCTGTGTGCTATGGATGGGTGGAGAGTGAATAGGCTCCATCTTTAAGTGACCTTCCGTCTCCTCCTGTGTCACAATCTGATGACTTTTTACTCAGAATGAAATGATCGTCCACATAAACCACCAATTCTGAAACTTTATTTAAATAGTACAAGGTAGCAAAACAGATTCTGGAATTTTCCATGTGTAATAAATATGAATCAGAGGCCTGAAGATGGACCTGGAAGAGAACAAAATGACAAGTTTAGAATTGTCCTCTCCCTTCCTCATTGTGTTCCCTGTTTTGTAGTTTTGGATGAAGTGTTATACAATGTGTCAGGTTCCTCAATGCGCCCCCCTACCCACAAACCCCCCTCCCCCCCATGGAGAATGGCAGACCTGCAAGCTACATACAAGTGATCTCGGCGACATCCCCGAGATCTATGGAGAATGGCAGGCCTGCAGATCACTTGTACATAACAAGTTGCGGCTTCCCCGCTGCACATTTAGCCCTGCTTGCCCAAATCCGGGCTAAATGTAGAAAACAATTACCCGCCTGGCACCCGGAACTGCATGTCCCCGGCATCGGGAGATAGGAATTCCACACCCCTGCTGCCCCTCTACTCCCTGCTGCCCCGAGGCCGGGCCTTGGTTGGCCTTGTTGGAAATCCGGCCCTGGCCACATCCAGAAGTTTGTATTAGAAATGTTTCTAGAAAGTGAACCCGCTCAGCACAGGAAATCTTTAGTGATGTGGATTCGAGGGGAAGTGTAGCTGCTGAAATTGTTCAGCATGAGTGCCAGCCTGCGGGTTCTGCCAGATGTCCAGGGCTGTGTGATGGTCTGCAGCCTCAGGATCTCACAGCAGAGCTGCTTCTACCCTATTAGTCCCGTCCCAGTGCTGGGACAAGGGCCTTTCGCACCCAAACTGCCCCCCACCTCCCACCATAAGCTATGAACTACTTTAGGAGGTCCTGCCCATTTTTTACCCTCCCCCCTCCCCCCCTACTGATGGTGGCCTCCTCTTGGCCCATCCTGTGCCCTCTTCTCCACCTGGTACCAGAGCTGCACCCAGATCCAGCATCTCCATGAGCCGCCCCTTCTGGAAGATACGTACCCGTTTCTACTGTTTTTCTGGATCTGAGAAGTTCCACTCTAGCCTGGAGGCTGCTACTGACCAGCTTCACCCCCGGCCCCAAACCTCTGTTTCCTGCATCCTCCATGTGGCTCTCATACACACCCTCTGTGAAGACTGGTGGGGGCGGAGTCAAGGATACAACAATCATAATACAGCATTGTGATGTGATTTCATTGACATGTCTGCAGTACAAAGTCCGGCCAACATAGTGATGTGGATGTGGCCACTGGGCTCTTATAGCGCCAACATTATGTCTACTTGGGGGCCGCACCTTCCTAAAGCCAGAAAAAGATTACAAGTAATATTCTTGTAATAACTTATACATTTCATTCCACTGACAGGCGGCATAAGACACTCACATTCAAATCTGATCTAATCTCATAGAAGATTCAACACGTGATGTCATTCTCAGTCTTTGTTCATCTTTCATTAACATAATCCATGGAGACCTCGTTTAGGCACTTCCTGTTATAGGGTGACAACCCTCTGCCCCTGTCTCCCAACTGTGCTCCTACATTGCCACCGTGTCACATTCTTCCCTAAGGCCTCAGTCACATGAGAAAAGGCTCTGTGCGGCGTGCACGGCCGTATCGGGCAGCTCCCGGGAGGGACAGGCGCTGCGTGTGATTAGTACCCCGTCCTCACACCGCTCTACACTCACCCCAAGTGCAGGTCCGTACCGGTGCGGGTGTCCCGGCTCGGACGCAGACAGGATCCATCCCGTCAGCCTACGAGTACGGACACCCGCACAGATGTGCAGGGCGGGCGGGCGGCGTACGGCCACATACTCCTATAGAGAAGGACGGGGGCTGCGTACTAATCACACGCAGCGCCTGTCCTTCCCGGGAGCGGCCCGATACGGCCGGCACGCAGCACGGAGCTGTACGTGCCGGCCTTTTCCCGTGTGAATGAGGCCTAATAGAGACGCGCACTGCTCAGGCAGGGGCCGCCATTGTCACCCTCAGGGAGCCGGTTTGCCGCTCAATGTTCTTCTATATCTATAAAGGAAGTGTTGTTATTGATGGGCAGTGTGGAATAAGGAACAATGGAAGAAGACCAAAGCACCACCTTCATTATATTCCATCATACACCCGCTCTGCAAGGGGTGTAACTAGAAATGAAAGGGGCCCCATACAAAATTTTGCTATGGGGCCCTGTGATTTCCAGTTACGCCCCTGCTGCTAATAATGACTGGATGTGCAACCCACGGGACATTAGTGGGATCTGTAATTGAGAAAGCTGGTCGGATGACGAGTGAAACGTCTTCAAGAAACATACAGGAAGTCCAGTCGCCTTGCCTTATATATTACAGATATCACATGACCTGGATGAATGAACCTTCACAGACATACCTGAAGAAGGAGATAGAACCTCCTGAAATGTGTTGGGTAATTCATTGGAGCACAACACTCTCCTCTATCCTTCATGTTCTACCCAGAATCCCTCAGTGGGTAAAGGCCAGAAGTGTTTTGGGGGTAACACTCTCACCCCGTTTTGTCTATACAGTGTGTGTTACAGGACTGTTGGTGACAATAGATGATGCTATAGGATGACTCTATGCTCCCGTAAAGGATATTTGCAGTGATCGGTAGGAAGAGGGTCTCCACCTCGCTCTGGATCTCAATGCAGTGCGAACATTCGGCGGCCCCCTCCGGCCCGTCCAATCCGATGGCCATAGCAAATAATTCCAAGTTCAGTCTCGTCTGCATCCCCGCCGCCACCTGCACATGTGATATGACATGGAGGACACTGCGAGAACATTCAATGACCAGAAACATGGAAACCCTACCAAGACTGGAGAGTAATGAGGACCATCACCCCTCATCACGCATCACGCATCACTCCTCACGTCACTCCTCATCACGCATCACTCCTCACGTCACCCTTCATCACGCATCACTCCTCATCACGCATCACTCCTCACGTCACCCCTCATCATGCATCACTCCTCATCACGCATCCCTCATCACGTCACCCCTCATCACGTCACCCCTCATCACTCCTCATCACGCATCACTCATCACGTAACCCCTCCTCACGTCACCCCTCATCATGTCACCCCTCATCACGCATCACTCCTCACGTCACCCCTCATCACTCCTCATCACGCATCACTCCTCATCACGCATCACTCCTCACATCACCCCTCATCACTCCTCACCTCACCCCTCACCCCTCTACGCATCACTCCTCACATCACCCCTCATCACTCCTCACGTCACCCCTCATCACTCCTCACGTCACCCCTCATCACTCCTCACGTCACCCCTCATCACTCCTCATCACGCATCACTCCTCATCACGCATCACTCCTCATCACGCATCACTCCTCATCACTCCTCATCACGCATCACTCCTCATCACGCATCACTCCTCATCACGCATCACTCCTCATCACGCATCCCTCATCACGTCACCCCTCATCACGCATCACTCCTCACGTCACCCCTCATCACGCATCACTCCTCACGTCACCCCTTCAGTCTCATCACGCATCGCTCCTCACGTCACCCCTTCAGTCTCATCACGCATCACTTATGACGCCACCCCTTCGGTCTCATCACGCAGTCTCATCACGCATCGCTCCTCACGTCACCCCTTCGGTCTCATCACGCATCGCTCCTCACGTCACCCCTTCAGTCTCATCACGCATCACTCCTCACGTCACCCCTTTGGTCTCATCACTCCTCACGTCACCCCATCGGTCTCATCACACATCGCTCCTCACGTCACCCCTTCAGTCTCATCACGCATCGCTCCTCACGTCACCCCTTTGGTCTCATCACTCCTCATGTCACCCCATCGGTCTCATCACACATCGCTCCTCACGTCACCCCTTCAGTCTCATCACGCATCGCTCCTCACGTCACCCCTTTGGTCTCATCACTCCTCATGTCACCCCATCGGTCTCATCACACATCGCTCCTCACGTCACCCCTCATCACGCATCACTAAGTTACTAACTGACATATCAACATGGATGTCACACCACTTCCAATACTCAAACTCCTAACATATCCACAACTCTGCCCTGAGCTCCATCACCAACCCAAGATATCATCAAACCGTCTTCTTCGCTCCTCCCAAGACCTCCTGCACTTCAGCCTCCTGGTCCCTTCCTGCCATGGTGACCTCCAGGGCTTCTCCACAGTCTCTCCCATCCTCTGGAACTCCCTACCTGAACCTGTCCGGTTATCTCCTACTCTGCCCACCTTTAGCTCATTCCTGAAAACTCATCTCTTCAGGGAAGTCTATCGCGCTTCGACCTAACGACTGAACTATTAGCTTCCCTATCAACTCACCCCCCCCCACCCCGTTATTACCTTTGGTATCACCTGCCCCTCCCTTTATTGGTTGTAAGTGGGGACACTTACCGGCCCGGGGGTGTAGGTGACTCTCAGGCCACTGCTGGGTGGTGGAGGCTTCACCCGGAACCTGCCAGAGGAAACACAAGTGATCCGTGATGTCACATTGTATACAATTGCATGCGATAGCTTGTGTGATAAGGAAATGTGCAAATAAAATAATTGATTCTTTAAAGAATGGATCCCGATCACTAAAAAAGGTCAATGACCCCTGACCCCGAGAAAGACGGCCGTGTAACCATTGTCAGTGTCCCCGGACCCAGAGAAAGACGGCCGTGTAACCATTGTCAGTGTCCCCGGACCCAGAGAAAGACGGCCGTGTAACCATTGTCAGTGTCCCCGGACCCAGAGAAAGACGGCCGTGTAACCATCGTCAGTGTCCCCGGACCCAGAGGAAGACGGCCGTGTAACCATTGTCAGTGTCCCCGGACCCAGAGAAAGACGGCCGTGTAACCATTGTCAGTGTCCCCGGACCCAGAGAAAGACGGCCGTGTAACCATCGTCAGTGTCCCCGGACCCAGAGAAAGACGGCCGTGTAACCATCGTCAGTGTCCCCGGACCCAGAGAAAGACGGCCGTGTAACCATTGTCAGTGTCCCCGGACCCAGAGGAAGACGGCCGTGTAACCATTGTCAGTGTCCCCGGACCCAGAGGAAGACGGCCGGGTGGGATTATGACATCATTATGATGTCAGGGGCACTGGGAAGACTCTACTAATGGATGACTTCCATCTATTGGTGGACGGCTTCCATCTATTGGTGGACGGCTTCCATCTATTGGTGGACAGCTTCCATCTATTGGTGGACGGCTTCCATCTGGTGGTGGATGACTCCTATCTATTGGAAGATGACTCCTATCTATTGGAAGATGACTCCTATCTATTGGAAGATCGGCTTCCATCTATTGGTGGACGACTTCCATCTATTGGTGGATAACTCCTATCTGTTGGTGGATGACTCCTATCTATTGGTGGATGATTTCTATCTATTGGTGGATGACTTCTATCTATTGGTGGATGGCTTCCATCTGTTGGTGGATAACTCCTATCTGTTGGTGGATGACTCCTCTCTATTGGTGGATGACTCCTCTCTATTGGTGGATGACTCCTCTCTATTGGTGGATGACTCCTCTCTATTGGTGGATGACTCCTCTCTATTGGTGGATGA